AAAGTTTCAAATTTAGAGTAGGTAATCAATAATTGAATGAGTTTTCTATAAATTGACAAAAGTATTGAATTCTTTAGTAATTATTTTATCTTGAGTTTTGTTCCCATTATCTGAAGGTGTATTTTCGTCATCAGAAGAAGGTCTTTCTTTGCTAGTTGAAGGTCTATTATAAATTTCGACATTATTGGATGCAAGGATAGAGATTTTCGATTGAAGATTTGCGCATTATTTGATGTAGCCATGTTGAAGGGCGGTAATCAGTGACGAACAAATTTTCGACCGTAGAGCTATGAGCGAAAGTGTTCCACAGACCAAACTATTGCTAATAGTTCGTTTTCTATAGTTGAATATTTTGTTTCGGTACTGCAGAAAGTCCTAGAGTTACAAGCGATGGAGAGATCTTTTCCTATGGGGCTCCGGGATAGAACAGCTCCAATAGCAAATGGGCTAGCATTGGTCGTTAAGACAAAGGGTTCTTCGAAATTTGAATAAATTAAAATAGGGTCAGAAATAAGTGCCTTCTAAGGTCGTCGAAAAAAGAAGAGCATTCTGAGTCAAAGTAAAATGGAACGTCCTTTTGTAGGAGTCTGGTTAGTGGTTTTGAAATTTTGGCAAAATTGGGAATGAAACGTCGGTAATAGCCGGCAACTCCTAAAAAGGATTTGATCTTTTTTGGTGGCCAATATATGTCACTTCTTTTCTGAGAAATTCGCACCATACAGGCTGTATTTTCAAGTTTGCGTTTCGAAGACGTTTGAAAATCACGGTTAATATTAAGATGTGCTCATGGATAGTTGGTGAATATAGGATAATGTCGTCCATGTAAACTAAACAACGTTCATTCTAGATGCCAAGAAGTATGTTATCCATGACTCGCTGAAACGTTGAGGGGGCGTTTTGAGGCCAAATGGCATACGGACAAACTCGTAATAAACATTTTCTACTGTAAAAGCAGCGATTTGATGGAATCCTGAAGCTAAGTCAAGTGTGGTGAAGTACTGACACTTTCTTAGTTGGTATAAAAGGTCGGATATATTTGGGAGAGGATATTTGGCTCCTACACTGAGCTCATTGAGCTTACGATAATCGATGACAGGACGCCACTTTTGTTTTCTTGAAGCATCTAGCTTCTTGGGAACTAGCCAAACGAGGGAAGACCATGGAGAAATTGATGGACGAATAATGCGTTGATTCAGCATTTTGCTGTTTCACCTCCTCTTCATGCACTTGGGGATAGCGATAAGATTTAGTGAAGAGGGGTCGGGAAACACTGGTATCAATACTGTGTCTAATCTCACTGGTAAAAGTCAGACTGTCTCCTGTCTCCCTCAAGGTAAAATATATCGGAAAAGTTGAGGCACAAGTCTGTGATAAATTGTTGTTCTTTATCGTTCAAATGGTCAAGTCGAAGATCTTTTTCTATGATCGATTTTCTATCAAGGATGACAATATTTTCTGAATTGAAATTGTTATCGGATTTGTCGTTTTGATTTTGAGTAATGAATGTCTCGATTTTCAAATCTGAGAAATCAATAACTTTGGGAGTAGCGTTGAGTTAGCCTGACTTTTTCCTTTTCTTCGTAAAAAATAATAGCCTCTGTATTCGCAAGATTTCGTGTTGATTTAAAGATTTTCTGGTTCTGGGTTCAATGGAAATTAAGTTTATTTTTTGTATGTCGCTTTTGGTATCCAACAGGGTTTTTTGTTTTCGACTTTATGTAAGTTAATGGTTTTATAAAATATAAAATTTGAGTGGATTTCCTTTAACAAAAGAGACAAGGGTTGATTCTTGAATATATAGTTTTTGGTTGGTGATTCCTTGACTGCTAATAATTTCGGGAAATCTAGTTGAAAATTTTTGGACTGTGTTGTTTTTGAAAATTCAGATGCCTGCTCCTGAGTCGAATAATAACTTGTATTTATTTGAAACGTCGTTGATATAGTATAGGTTTTTTTAGTTTACTATGAGTAAGGGACTTAGAGAACGTTTTGTTCCGGTAAATTCAAGTTTGGGTCCATGTTGTCCAAGTTCAATGTTTCAATTTGGGACTGGATTTCGGAAATTGGGTCTTGAGTTGTATTCTCTAGGGGTTGACTGGTAGATAGGAGTCTCAGAAAATCCTGGTAATTTTCGGAGTTGATAATATCACTTGAATATTGATCGAAGTATTGATTTTCGTGTGCGTTAATTTGATTGTCGAAGTTTCATCACTTTGATATTCGTTATAATAATTATTAGAAGATTGGTCCCAATTCATATGGTGAGTCCTTTGTTGAGATTGGTAAAATTGGCGATTTCTCTGGGTTATGTGGGGACGATTTTGAAGTTGGTTTGTTGAATTAGGGGTGCTCCGTGATTCCATTCGTTTTGTTGTGGAGTGTTGAATGAAGCTGAAGCATTATTGTATGGAGTTGTGAAAGGTTTTTGAGCAGTTTGAAAATTAGAATTAGTAGAGTTGGAGTTTTGTGGAGAATTATTGCGGACATTTTGTTATCTGCATTGATTTGTATAGTGACCAGAACGGCCGCACAATTATAGCATTTGGGATGTTGAGTGTTTTTCGCTCCGTTATTGTTTTGTTTTGTGGGTTGAGTTTTGGAGTTTTCTGATCTTCAAAATAAGATTATTGGAGTTTTCTCTGAATTCTACATTGTGCCTTTAGAAGGGTTATTGGATTGCTTGCTCGAATTAGTTGGTCAAGACGAGGTTCCAAACTGGTAAGTAAGGTATTTAATGCCATAGTTTCAATGAGGGTTGATTGGGCTTGTCTTTGATCTATGGTTTTTAAATTTGGAGATTTTTGGATGTAAGAATGCATCTTTTTATGAATTCTGTTGAAGAAAGTCAAAGCAGGTTCTCCAGGTATTTGTTTTGGACCGCTGAACATCCTGAATGAGAGAATTTAAATTTCGGGTGTCGCCCAAATGCAAGTTTAAAAGTTGCTTGATTTCGGGTATGATTGTGGGTTTCTCGAGCTGATTAGTTGGGCAGCTCTACCTCTGAATTTATTTTTCATGTGGGTTACCAGAAGGGTTTTTTTGATGAGGGCTAGCTATATTATACGCGCATTCGCACGTATTGATAAAATTTCCCAGAAATATTTGATCACCTTCAAGAATAATAGAAAAGATTTCGGAAAGTTTGTAAGGCTCCACCTCAAGTGTTACGTTTCTTCCTGCTGGCATTTTGCTTTAGATAAAATGTCACGAGAGAAAAATGGAAACTATATCAAAAAATAATGGCAAAAAAATGGTATTTCGTTCAAAAAATGGGGTAATATATGCTGGGAATAGTTTGAAAAATCGAAAGATTCAAAAAAAAAAATATATATATAAAAACAATATGCGAGACGATTCTTTACTTACAAGAAGTTTTCCATTATATTTAGTTTCCATGCGGTTAAGAACTCTTTATTCCTCCTATAGTCGTTCAAATTGACCTGTCTCGCATAAATAGAAAAAAACAGCTTAATTGTAATAAATACAAGTTAGAAAGAAATAAAAGATGACATGCGCGCGCAACTCGTAGTTGCAGCGTAGTTAGATTGTAGTGTTGCAGAACAAATTGTAGACAATACAAATCGAATATTATAACATTCAAGAAGTGATATAGTGTCAAGTGTTTTACAGAAAAAGAGCTTTAAAGTGTACGTTAACATCGTTTGTACTTTTATTTTGATAAATGTTTCATGCGGCAACATCTCACAATGAAATTGCAAAGGAATAAGTCAAGTATAATCTAACATAACCTTGAACGACACTGCGGTGAGTTCAAGTAATACGTGAAGTATTAGTTTGCTCTTTGTTGAATTACACGTTACAAAGAAAGAAGGAACGATTAATTCTGAACTGGCCCCTGAATAAGAATATGACGCAAGCCTGTAACAAACTCGCTTCTCATTCGACGCTCACCTGCAACCTACGAGTTCCGCGCGCAGTCAAGGTAAAAAAAGAAAGGTCTATTGGGACACAAGTTCTTTTCCTGTTCAGGGATTGAAATCCGCCGCTACCAGTTGAAGTTATTCATTTTGAAAATTTGGCAACTGGGATAAACGACCATGGTCTACACTTTAAAAATATTTTTGACCATGCGGTGTCTACTTTAAACGAGTGGCAACATCGCTATTTTAAATAGAGTAGCCTGTATGTTTTTTAAATTTTTGAATTCGGCATATAATTATGAGCAACTTTTCCTGATACTTCTCTGTACCTATCTGTCGCCGTTTTTCTGAAATAAATAAATTTAAATTATTTTTTCAAAGAAAATAGGACTCCAAATTAAATCTTAAGGAGGGAGATCCTCCTGTAAATAAATTTGAGCTGAAATTTGGGTTATCCCTAAACAATGCCTGTAGGCATTTGATCTTTCGCTCACATCTTCAAGTATACAGGATGGACCAGAAATTAATTTCTGTCAGTAATTTACTTAAATGCTAGAAAAATGATTTTTTCAAATGGAACACCCTGTAATAATAATACGGATTTGAAAAGCTGATGAAAGTAGCTTTCAGACTACCTATGTATACTTTTCCTAGGCCTAATTCTTCATGTTTCCGATTTATTTGCCTTTATTCCTAAAATTTCATAATCGACAAACTTTTAACGGCTTTAATAGTAATGGTGGGGGAATACATTTACATATATATTTGATTGGTAGTAGAAAAAATTTTGTATGCAATACGTGCGTAAAGCACCTTTTTTTCACTCATGTGATTGTCACGTCTTCGGCTCGTGCGTCAAAATTCACATTCGTGAAAATAGGTTCACTTTACACACTTGTTGCATAAATAACTATTCTTTTCGTCACAGCGTTTTAATGAGAAAACTTATTGAATTTCGAAAAACGTTTTCAAATTCCTAGAAACAGAATACACCAAATGGATACCTATCTTGATTTTTTCAAAACTGAGTTTTTTAGCGAAAAGGTAAGGGGTGTTCACTTTATACTGGATCACCCATACTTGGATTTTTTAGGATACCAAAATCAAACAAATTCTCTAGGGAATATACCTTATTTTATTTAATAAGGTAGGACAACCAAGATAATAATAAATATTACAAAGGTTTCACAAAATAATAAAGACTATAGGCGACAAATATAACACTTTTAGAATTAGATTTTTCGCACAAATATCATATAAAGATAACAAAATAGGTAGAAGTGTATATAAAACTAATAAATGTTTGGTACAAGATAGGCCTACGTGTATAGTTTTTTTTTTTTCATTTACTTAAGCTACACATAATATGGATTTCTTCATTTTCTAAAACCTTATTATCTACATTTTTTCTAATTTAATATTGACTCTTTAGAGCAAATATGGTCATATTCAATAATAACCATATCGAAACAGTTAAAAGCCTTTTTAAATCATAAGAGTTTATTTTATTCTTTTTTGGGACAACGCTTTAGATTTTAACATTTCAATTTACAAAACCAAAATGTGAAAATTCAAAGCTCACAATGTTTTATATTATCTAATTTACAGTATCTACTACACCCTGGTCTATAGCTAAACATTTTCCCAAGATTTTTCTAGTCATAAGCTGATTATATACAAAGGTATCGCATAAATATCACATCGAAATGGCGAACAAATTAAAGCCTGTAACCATATCTTATGTTACATTATGAGTGCTCTACGAGTATACTTTGTTGTTCCGCTACGTCTACGTTAGTTTTGTTTATAGTTTCGTGTCTAGCTTCTACAAGAATTTACAGTAACAGTATTCGCCAATAGAAGTAGCATAATAACAGAACAGAAAGAATTTATATATTTTTTTTGTGTGTGTAAAGTGATATGTATGTTTAAGTAATTATTTTTTTTTTTTTGGACAGGTTAACTATTAAACAGGTCACATATTTGATATGTATTGGTATTATCATTGTATAATATAATATAATATATATAGGCTGTGTCAGCAAAAATTTTCGTCGTTATATGTATATTCACAAACAAGTATTTGTTTCCAGATGAAAAAATAGGTATACACAGGTATATGTGGATTAATAGACCATCTCTAGATTTTCACATGTTCTTGAATTGAAAGATTTCAAAAGGTCTTAAATCTGAAGTGTTTCATTATGAACTAAAGTGTGATAACGTTTTCTGGTGCATGTACACTATAGTGAAGTAAAACATTTCCAATGATGACACACCCTGTATAATTATTTTGGTTATGAAAAATATCATCATACTTTTTCTCCATTAAATCAAAATTCCAACATTCAAAAGATCAATAATATTCATAAAATTTTCTTCGCTACGGATATTTAAAGGCCGAAAAACTACTTGCTCTAGATAAAATTTTTCTTTTTATGATATGTACCGTTTTAATATATATTTTTTAAAATTATTTTAACCTTGTATACATCTAAATTTATTCCTACTTTTAAAATAATTGTCTATTTGTATTCTACATTAGCTTCCCTATTTTACTCTATAGACATTTTGTTGAAATTATGGTGGATAGTTCAAAAATCAGTGGTGAATGTTTAAAAATTATTTTCAAGATCATAATCTTACTAGTACGCAAGATTGCTAAATCAAAAAGAAAAAATTCAACATAACTTCCAAGTTTCCCAAAGTCAATGATTTCCTAAATGGAACGGTCGCTCTCTCCCGGGGAAAGTTTTCGAGTTGACGAAATTCGTCCCTGTCTGGCATCAGCTCACAGAGCGCGTCTCTCCTCAACTTCGCAAATTAGTTTTAGGTTTATCATATAGTTTGAGTTGCTTACATTGCATCGACCCATCTTTCTGTTTACTTATTTGGATGTCGACGCTATTGCGAGAAGCATAAGCTCGTATATAATTATGATGGTTTTTGCGGCTGGGATTAACAAATCATTTCCCAGGTATTAAATTTTGTTTCGAGTGGAATTTGAGTTACTTAATAAATTAGTTTATTCTTGTATTTATTTTGTTGAGCTAAAACATTCACCACTGTTTAAATATTAGATAGTTGAAGTTGCCTCAGATACGTAGGTATAATATGAGTCGTATGCATGTACTGTTCAATTTTTCAAATAAATCAAATCTGTGCTATTGACCATATCAGATAGAGTATGTTAAAAATAAATCTGACATTAGACAGGTTGAGAAAGCTGGCAGCTGGAAATTTTTGATGTACAATTATTGTGACAACAGGATATTGTTAGTAATTTTTCAGTTTTCTCATTTTTTGAAACAAGAACAGGATTTCTGATCTTTTTCGTTCATTTAGTAGGTCAATCATCCATTTTTCAAGGAAACTGATAAAATCGTTAGAGATCACTGTCACCTCACTGGAGATTTTAGAGGTTTTGCTCACTGTGACTGTAATTTGCTATAAAAGCTCTTTTGCAGTTCCTATCGTATTTCATAATTTGAGCGGCTACGATAGGCATTTCGCGATAAGGGACTTGGCAAAACATTTACATATCACTCTATTACTAAGTCAAGGTGGAAGGCAACGTGCGGAGGACTGCACCCCCTGTATTCCAAGCCTTACCCGACCATGCGGGGCTTTGGCTGGGTGGACCTTTATTTCCCTAGCTTCTCGTGGGACCAAGTATGAGTACAATCAATGACAAATAAAATCCAATTAAATAAGGTGAGGTCAAAGGCAAATTCAGTGCCAAGTCCAACTACAAAGCAAACTTCCTGGAGGAGATCGACAACCTAACAGAGGACAAGGTCATCAAGAGCTAGAATGCAGAACCTGGTCACGAAAGGCAAAAGCTGCACTGAAGCTAAGTGCGCCATGATCAGGGAGAACTTCATGAACCACATGGAGGAAAAGGACAAAGCAAAGGTAAAACGTACGCAGTATAATAAAGAGATCTGCAAGGCAAAAAAAAAAAAGGGAGCGATTCTGTGAAGAAATTACACAAACGCCGGTGTGCGCTAGGGTGCACAAAGTTCTTGCAAGGGAAGGTACTGCGAGCACTCTCTGCTCCCTAAAAAGATGGAACAGGGCCCACACGAGCCCTAACTAGGAAAGCTTAGGGCTAATAATAGATACCCACTTTCCAGGATCATCTTTATTCACTGATCAATCTAGGCCGATAGATCACGTCCGAAAGTCCAGAAGACCATTAAAGGTGGATTGGAATAGGGCAAAGGAACTGGTAACATATGAGAGAATTAAAGACTCTATCCTCTAAGCGATCGCCAATATGCCTACCAACACCAACCAGAAAAGTCTACGGACTACCATCACAAATGAACGCACCCAAGCGTAAGAATATTCCATATACCGTATGTAACTGGATAGAAGCCAGCCGGCTGTGCACACGGAGGTGTTTTATCGCCATTGTATTGGGCGGTCCTGGTCGACGATCTCCTGGCAAAAATGGCCAAGGAGATATTCTACTGTCTCGGCTACGTGGATGATATGGTCCTCGTAGTCAGAGGTAGGCATCTAGAACATGTCTCAGAAAGAACTCTGAACATAGTAGATAACTGGTGCAGGGATGAAGGCTTGTCGGTTAATCCGCAGAAAACCGTGATTGTCCTGTTTACAAAGAGAAGAGTACTAAAAGGACTTCGATGTCCTAAGCATAATGGAGCGGAAATCCCCTTCTCAAAAGGGGTCGAATATCTAGGATTTATTTTTGACCAAAGGATGACCTGGGGTCCACACCTTAAGGCTAAAATTTCCTTCGGAAGATGCAGAAGGCTTTTTGAAAAAATCTGGGGATTGAGTCCAAAGATGAATCTATGGTTATACAAAATGGTGTTAGACCAATGATAACCTATAATTCGGTTGCCTGGGGTACCAAGGTCACATAGACCGTATTAATCAGACAGCTTCAAAGTGTATAGGAAGGTAGCGGTTGATAAGTCAGATAGGCGGTTGCAGCGGATTCTTTGGCGCAAAAATTCAGATGATCCTCTCAGGGTTTTCGAGTTAAACACCGTCATGGTACTGCGTCAGACGGTCAGGGTCATTTTTAGCTATTATGAACTTGTTTCAGTCAGGCATTGATTGTCGTGAATCTTATCCAGAAATTTCAAGGGTGATTGAATCTGATTTTTACGTCGACGATCTGTTGACGGGCGCGGATTCAATCAAGGAGGCATATTCATTAGCTCATCAGGTGTCACATATTTTATTGCAAGGTTGCTTTGAGTTGCGCAAATGGCGATCCAACGGTCAAGATTTCATTCAAAATCTTCACACAGATTCTAATTCAGATGAAGTCATACTTGAAGCCGATAAAAAGACATTGGGTTTGGTTTGGTGTAGTACACAGGATTATTTAAAATATAAAGTCAATAAGCGCAGCGTGCTATCATCCATTTCCAGGGTATTTGATCCGTTAAGATTGCTATCACCATGTATTCTATATGCTAAGATTATGCTTCAAAGGCTGTGGGTCCTTAGGCTTTCTTGGGATGACAAACTTCCTGAAGAAGACAGAAGGGCATGGCTCAAATGTATATCAGAATTGCATTACATCAACAACCTCCAAATACCTAGGACAGTATTTGATGTAAGCACATTCCAGTTTTATTGTTTCTCAGATGCGTCAACCTTGGCATATATATTTATGTAAGGTCTTTAAATCCAGATGGTGTTATTTCCGTGCGACTTTTTTGTTCAAAGGTAAGGGTGGCACCATTGAAAACATTCACCATGCCACGTTTAGAATTGTGCGGGTCACATTTATTGTCTAAGCTTGCGAATAGGATATTTGAGATATTGAGGTTGAATTCAGTCTCTTGTACATTTTGGTCAGACTCTACGATTGTTTTGGGGTGGTTGAAAACTCCTCCAAATCAACTCAAAACATTTGTCAGTAATAGAGTGGCTGAAATGCAAGAGATGACAGGTTCGTTCAATTGGAGTCAAGTCCCTGGCAAGCAAAATCCAGCGGACTTACTCACCAGGGGCTTATTGCCAAGTCAAATAGAAAACTTTCAAATGTAGTGGGAAGGTCCAGAGTTTCTGCATCAACCAGAATACATTCAGTAAGAACAAAATTTCTCAATTGATGATAACCAAGGAAAATAATTACAAGAGTTGCATTTCTTTTGAACGTTTTTCTAATTCCAATAGGCTTAATCGAGCAATTGCTTGGATTTACAGGTTCAAGAACAATTGTCTCACAAAAAATAAAATATCAGGACCCTTAACGGCAAATGAGGTTTACTTGGGTTTGTTAAAGGTATCCCAAGAAATTCAAAAGGAATGTTTTCCACAAGAATATAGCGATCTATTTCAGGGTAAGCTCATTTCTCCTAAAAGTTCCATTTTAAATATTTTTCCCTTTTGCCAGAATGGAGTAGTTTGTGTTGAGGGTCGATTGAAAAATGATTCATCAAACTTTTGGTCATGTTCCGATTCAGATGAACCTGTGATGATGAGATCATCGAAATAAATTTTAACCCCTTTGATATCGCCAAATAGCTCATAATTTAATTTTTGAAAAACCTCAGGTGCTGAGCTTATGCCAAATGGCATGCGACAAAATTTAAATCTCCCAAATGGAGTTGCAAATGCACAGTAATCTGATGATTGTTTATCTAACATGACCTGAAAGTACCCGTCCTTCATGTCCAATACCGTAAACAGGGTCCCCGCTACTATAAGCGCAAGGTCCGAGAGAAATTCTGGCCAGTATCAGGCCGGTATTTAGTCAAAAACGTTGTAAGGAGTGTATACCATGTTTTAGATTCAAGGCAACCATTCAAAATCCTTTACTGGGGGAATTACCTTCCTCTCGAGGGTTTCGGTTTCAAGTAACAGGGGTTGATTATGCAGGACCTTATTCAACAAAAAACCATAAGGGTAGCCAAGGCTTTCAAAGTGTTGGATTTCTTTATTCGCTTCAAGACACGAGCTGTGCATCTTGAACTAGTAACGGAGCTCACAACGAGCTGTTTCATTGCTTTATTCAGAAGGTTTGTATCCCGAAGCCAACTCATGTCTATTCAAACAACGGGAGTAATTTTGTAGCTGCTTGCTCAGAATTCAAGGAATTTATCACTAATAAGGACATTCAAAATCATTTACAAGCTTCGGTCACTAATCATGGCGTGCAATGGCATTTCATCCCGCCACGGGCTCCGTATTTAGGTAGTATGTGGGAAAATGGGGTAAAAAGCTGTAAACATCATCTGCGAAGGGTTATGGACAATGTGGTATTTACATTTGAGGAACTATACACTCTGCTGGTTCAAATAGAATCAATAATAAATTCCCGTCCTATATGTCAAATGTCATCCGATTCTAACGATCTGAACCCCCTGGATCCTGCTCATTTTTTGTTGGGCCGTCCAGCTACGTCAGACATATCACATCTCTGCCAACAGACTTCCAAGGTATCAGCTCTTCCAATTAAATTCAACAACATTTCTAGAGTAGATGGCAGAAGGAATATCTGAACGAGTTACAACAACGACACAAAAGCAAACTCAACAAACCAGCCCTCAAGCTCAATGATTTAGTGCTCATCAAGGAGGATAATCTTCAGCCTAAACTTTGGAAGCTAGGCCGAGTGTGTGTGGTGTTTCCTGCACCCGATGGTGTGAACAGAGTGGCCGATTTGAAGACAAGCAATGGTGTTACTAGGCGAGCTTTCACCAAGTTGTGCATGTTGCCAATCGACAGCGACAATTCGGCAGAGGAGTGAAGTGTTCAAGGTTCGCGAGTTGGAAGTTCTAGAAGCTGGAAGCGGGCGGTATAGACATGCAAGGATGCAATTACGACCGTTGAATGCACCCGCATGTTTTAATTGGACATGAGACAAAAAGAGAAAGAAAGCTACCATTCCTCCACTACCCAGTCAAACCGCGGTATAGCATTTGACAGACCAAAGCGCCTATTAAAGTTGCCGTGACGGAATCATTCTCCTATCCGAAATTGATTGGTACCTGTTTGACAGACCAAACTGGGGTACCAAACCGAGGCGAAATCGCCTGTTAATAGTTCTTGAAACTGTTCGTTTGAGAGTAATGAAGCCATCTTTCTCGTTGATCTCAGATTGTACGAATGTTTCAATGAAAACACAAGTTTTCACACAATTTTCGTAGCCCCACGTTCGTTGGGCGCCAATTATAAGGAATGTTTTTGTTGGTTGTGGGTACACCAAAATAGTCAACTTAACTGGATGTTATGGTAGGTATTTAATTTCGCAAAATGAACAATAGTAGAGAGTTATTGAAACTATTAAATACTGCCTCGCAGTAATTAAGGATCTACGTTATTTTATTGGTGCAGACTGTAGTCGATGTTAGAGTATTACTCTAAGGATTTTTCAGCAACTAACTGTGTTATAAGCGGTAACTGGAAATCTCTAACCGTTGAAATTTTAGCGAGGGACGTGGGTTACTGGCGGTTATAGAACATTTGACAGTTCGATTTTATGTGAATATTATTGATTGACACATGGATTTTTTGGCGCATTCATTATTTTCATGGTTTTTGTTGTTGAAATCATTCATTTTCAACACTCAGCAATTTCAACCATTGTAATCTCAGAAGATCAAGTTTTCATTTTATGTAAAATCGACAATCCAGTCATTAATGCTATTATAGCAATTTAAAAGCGAAAAGCTGTATTGAATTTATTAATTGAAAGTTGTTTTGAAATACAGCGTATCACTTTATGGTTCATGTCCATAAGTCTCGGACAGTACGTCACGGTGTTTCAGGCGGAAATCGCTGCAATAATGCACTGAGCCATACTGATAAACGAAAGGAAAGTTAAGAGTAAAAATATCGTTATTTACTCGGACAGCCAGGCAGCCCTAAAGGCAATCAGCTCCAGAAAAATCAGCTTCAAGCTGGTTGGGGAGTGTATACGTACCCTAGAGGAGGTGTGCTTGTCCAATAAACTCACCATATCCTTGGTACCATTCCATGGGGGCCTCCCAGGAAATGAAAAGGCTGATGACTTAACCAAAGGAGGCTCGGCCACTGAGATGATAGGCCCAGAACCATTCTGCGGAATATCTGCAGGCAGTTTTAAAACATCTATCAACAACTGGATAGACAGAGAGAGTACAGAAGCTAAGGGCAGGGAACACCAGGACAACGACAGGCAAAGAAGTTCATCAAATCCGACTCGCCCAAGTTCACAGCCTACTAAGCCACAGCCGCAAGATTGTTAGGATAACGGTAGGCCAATTAACAGAACATTGTAAACTCAACAAGCACCTGGAAAGAATGAGCCTGGTAGAGAAAAGCCTGTGCAGGTTCTGCCAGGAGGCGGAAGAAACTGCCGTAATATGGTGCCATTGCGAAGCGCTAAGGTTTGCGAGGCTTGAAGAGAGAAAGCCCAATCCCGCAAGCTACATAGTTGGGGAGCTGGCGTCGAAAACATGCAAGAGTTTCCTGAAGGCTGATATTTTCAAATAGGTCGTACTTCAGTGATTGAAGGCTAGTGTACAGTCAGCACTCACAGATCCGGGACAGCTGTCCCTGGGACGCGGGCAAAGTTGAAATTTTAAGAAGCATCTAAACTATTTTCTCAAAGCACAAAATGTATCGAAATTTTGCACGTAATCTGTTTGAAGGTCACAGATAACGTGTGTAAATCATCAGACGTCTCGGTCGCTGTATAAAGAGGGTCAGACGCCCTCAAAGTTTTTATTTTATGGCATTTTCTTCGGTGTCCTATCAAAATATATTCTTGCAGGTATGTGACAAATATATTTGAAGGGACACCGAAGAAAATGCCATAAAATAAAAACTTTCAGGGCGTCTGACTCCCTTCTTGCAGCTACCTAAACGTCTGCAGATTTACATACGTTATCTATGATCTTCAAACAGATAATGTGCAAAATTTCTATACATTTTGAGCTTTGAAAAAATAGTTAAGATGCTTCTTAAAATCACAACTTTGCGCGAGTCCCAACGCCAGCTGTCCCGGAACTGTGAGTGCTGACTGTACACTAGCCTTCCATCACTGAAGTACGACCCATTTTGAAAATATCAGCCTTCAGAAAACTCTTGCATGTTTCCGACGCCACCTCCTAGACTTAACATGGGATGGTCAGTATCATGTCTCTGTAATCTAATAAAAAGGACGGGTTTAGAGAATGCACTCTAAGGACAGATAGGAGAAACCACAAGAAATCTGACAAGGTTGCAGTGGTAGAAGATGCCTCTGCGCCATCTCCATTCAAACAAATGTACCATTATATGAAATCAAGGAAAAATACATTAGTTTCACAGTTTTCGCGATAATGAAACCAATTTAAAATTCCATTGAACAATATTCTTTGAAGTTTGTTCGTATTATTCCGAAATTTTCAACATACTTTTTATCCATCATGGAAAATTTGGATCTAGTGTAGTAGGCTTGCTTATTTTAGATAATTTCTCATTGTTGAACCAAATCTCACTTTCGAGAAACGTGTGGATTCGATATTCTCTACTTCGTGGTACTACTTCTGTATATGATTCTCTGGGGTCACGTGCTGCCTTTTAAAATCATCAATATATAATATGGTGGTTTGATACCCTGTTTCCTGAAATTTTGAATCGACAATTTTTAATAATGTGTATCAGTAAGACAACGTATTTGCACCAAATTCAACTTTCTAGTAATTCACATTTATTCACATTACGTACCTATTTCATTGGTTGTTGTCATTGAAAACGATTAAATTCCATCAAATTTGTCCATTAATTTATCTTTACCTAATTGTTGCATTGCATTAATGCATTAAGATTCCCAAAAAAGATCATGTAAAGCAGTCCTACAAGATTATTGTACATCGAAATTGACAATTTAAGCGTGATTGGGCAAAGTGTCTTGCACAAAACTTATATTATGTTACATTTTTCTTTATACATTCAATAGATGTGTTCTAATCTTAACTATCTTCATGAAAGACACCTTGTGAAAAGACGATACGAACAATATCGTCTAAAATATATTTTTTTCTTTATACAATAGTTTCATGAATAAAAGTGGATAATTGTTTGACGAAATATTAGGCCACATAAACCTTTTCAAATTCGTTGTAGAAGAAAATAAATTTATTGAAAGTTTGACTGCAAGCAATTTCTACAAAAACCCAGTGTATATAAACTTTACAGTGACTATAAATATTATTTTGGCTCAATATTTATAAATTATATTATACGCGAAAATTATTTATTTTATCACCTGCTTGTTCTGATATGTATGTGACGATTTACAGTTTTTAATGTGATATGTTTTAGGTTACGTTACAAACTACACATTGACTAATATTATATAAGCCCTTATCTAACATAAGAATTTTTCTTTGAAACATTGATTGTCAATGACTTAGTATAAACTCGGGTGTGAGAGATGCAACTTTAGTTTTATACTATGTCAAGAATATGTGTGAAAAGAAATTAGGAATCAATGGATCTACTCCTACAATCAAAATTGATTCCTAATTTTTAAGCAATCAAACAATAGTCATATCACATATTATTAAAAATATTTGCCTCAAAATCCCTTAAGACCGTGACCAAATTCGACCTTGTCACGTCGTATATTCGACGAACTTTACAATTTTGTATAAAACGTAAAACCCCATCCGATAGAAACCACAGATAGCGAACGCACTCTGTTATTGACATGTTTTTCATCCAGGGAGAGTGATTTGCGACGAACATCTATATAGTATATTGACATTACTATTAACTCTGGCTTGATTTATATTCTGAACGCCGAAAAAGCTTTTGGTAATTGATTTTTCAGGTTTTATACTATTTGTTTGTTTTTTTTTGTATTTTTTTTTTAAGCTTAAACTAGGTATATAAGCCTTTTTTCGTCTCTCTAAAAATCGATATTTTGTATTTCGATTATAAAGTGGAAATGTTTCACAAAAAAAATAGCCTATTTTATAAGCACAAATACAAAATATCATACTTTAGGCCCATTTACACACTTTGTAACGGAGTTACTAGATTTTTTCCGAAAATGTGTGCGGCTTTGACTTCAATTTGCGCTAGGTAATTTTCGGCCAACCCCGCGGTAGTGATTTAACTTGATTTTTAATTATTTGTGTAACTAAAGTCACACAACTTTTCTTGGATTTTAAGAAGAAGAGCGGCTTTCTTGAATATCTCCGAATTATTATTCATTCCTAAATATAGCAATATTTTCCGCGTGACCTTGCTGCAAGTAGCAGTTGGTATGGTCATACGCTCGAAGCTTCGCCGCCGGCTTTGGACCTATAGTAGTCGAAGCGCGCACCATGGTATTTTCTCCCACTGGGTTGCCCTTCCATCCTCGAGCGTTTTCCTTACAAACGAACGGCGTTGGGTTAAGTCAGTCTGGCCCGAGTTCAGTAAATTCATGTCCGTATCCGAGATGTCTTACATAAAGTGTGGGACGGGTACATCAGTATTCGAAACAGTTAAAACAGTTAAGATCTAACCGCTATTATATAGCATGACCGCTACTAATTTTCTGTTACTCACCGCTTGCTTAAAAACCGCCCGTTATCATTAATCTACACGCACGCACACATACACATTTTCACTCTCCTCATTGCACGCCCGCTTCATTCACTATGCCTAAGGAATGTTTTATTTTAATATGGGAATTGCCTTATTTACTGTTATAAATTTGTAGCAATAAATACCAGACCCTAATATTGATTTCATGTCTTCTTTTAGAGTTTCCAGGAGGTATAAAAGGAATAACTTCTAGCATCTGATCCGACCCCTGATCTCCACTGTAACAAGCTACCTGGTACACGTCGGCCCTCAACCACAATAATCCCGAGGGTGGCGCCCAGATAACCGTTAAAGTTAGAAAAGGAAAAACCGCTACAAAGATTGGCGCCCGAGCAGGGACATTCAATTGCTAGAAAAAGAAGTTTCCACCAGAATTATTCCCTTGACCAGTCCTTTGTAAATCTCAGTCATGATGACTGGAGGCAACAACACCGCTGGAGACCCGCCAGTTACGAGTACCCCAAATATCGTTGTAGTTACAACCAGTCCGTCTAACCCAGTTGTTACTATCCCGACGATAACTCACCCCGGTTGGTATGACCCCAATGATGTCCATGTGAGTTGGGTATATCAATTAAAGAAGGACGATTTGCTTGTGGAGCTGAATAAATTCGGTCGAGAAACTACCGGTACCGTTGACATTTAAAAAAAAGAAGCTAGTTACCTTTATTCGAATAAGAAAAGCTACACCAGCACCGACAACAATGACCGGTTTCACATTCCCAACTTCTCCCAACATCACTGCTTCGACCGCCAGTACTACAGCTCACCTGACAACAACCAGTCCATCTGATACAACTCAGACAATTCTCACACCGGTACCGACTATTACCATCCAACCACCGATTTCTCCTGGCACCCATGGGTCCCCAGTTATACCGATGAAGGTTCATAAATGGAATATCCATTTTGATGGACCCTGTGACGTTCTTGGAGAAACTTCAAGAAATCTGTACATCCCAGGGTATTATCATATGTCGCGTTGCATGGGATTGGCTGTTTTTCGTTGTGGGCGGAGCTTATGAAGGGTATCGCCGGAACATATTTTCAGGCCAGAGTCAGTCAGTTCTCTTCAGGCAGTGATTGAGACTTCATCTCGCCTGTCTGCCCCGTTCTCTACGCTAGAGACAAGAACAGCTCTCCCCTCATTTGTTCGACAGAAGTGCTGTGACATGTAGCCGGCACTTAGGAGCGCGTATTAGGCTGGCAACGCTTTGCTGTGGGTCACCTTGCCTTAGGGATCACTTTATGTGGCCGGTAGACGAACCTCTCAGAGCGTTGTTGGTGCGAGCTACCTCATAGGTACGAAGACAGAAAAGAGAAAGCCAACGTTATAACTCCTCGGGCGCGAAATAAGGCTTCCGGAAAAGCCCAGTTCTTCGCAAGGAAATCCGCATTTTTGATTTCTGGTTCTAAATTGAGCCCCGCGTTTCCAATTCGACACATTCATGCAGCTTTCCATCTAGGAAATCTAGACTCCTCCTCCGCGATTGTCACTTATACTTTTGGACACCTTCTTCAAAGGTTCCCGACCCCCCATGTCCGTCCTCGACGATTTTCGTGAATTTTTATGAAAATTCTCATCTCTTCTGCAAACTCCACGTCGAATTGAAACTCAAAAATCAAATATTCATTTTCTTCCTCCAAAGGCTCACCAAGTTGGGACAGAATTTGCAAAAAGACTAGAAAGTCTAAATTATCCAAGCTTGACTTTTTCTTGTGGCTTTTTTAGGAAAAAATCTCAATTTCAATTTAACTCTAAGCTAGATTAGCTTCGCCGAGTTGGGACAGAGTTCTATAAGAAGACAAAAGTCGAAACTACCCCCAGCTTGAATTTTTCTTGAAATTTTTTACGGAAAAATCTCAATTTCAAAACAAAGACAAAGGCTAGATTTGCCGCCGAGTTAGAACAGAGTTTTATAAGAAGAAAAAAGTCGAAACTACCTCTAGCTTGAATTTTATGGAGGGTTTTTAGGAAAAACCTCTTTTTCACTACAGTACAGACGAGACATTGACAAAAACACACAAACCTTCGAAGGTTAGACTGGTTTTCGGACCTGGTGCACCGTTTCTGTTCCCCCGTGTTTTTATTTGTCACTTAACTTCTCGAAGCCGCTCGACGGTTTTCTCAGAGTGCCATCTGAGTTCAACGTTCTGTCGTTTCAAACAAAAGTTTCTAGTAACTGCCACCGTAACCGTTCGGGAAACTAACCCGGTGCTGTCCTAGTCCGAGGTCAGTTCAGCACCCTACACGGAAAACCTCGAGTAAACCAGACCCTCCGCAAAATCTAAACATGATTCGTCTACCAGATTTTAGCCCGCATGTGTGAGACCCCGTTCTCGGCCATAGTCGATACCAGAGCCGCTAACTCATACGTGGGAGACTTCGCTGAAAACATATGCCGTCTCCACAACTACCCCAAAGTACAACCCACGGTTAGAAGCGCCAAAATGGCCCACGGTGGTGTAATCGACATCTCCGAAGCTTACCAGATACCGTTACAGCTTGGAGATCTTATCTTGACCGAGACTATTAACTACTTTACAAACTTGTCATCCGATATTATGCTGGGGATGGATATCTTGAACCGGCACCAGTTTCATCTGGACCTGGGCAGTGGAAACGTTTATATACAAAAACGTCTTCTGCCTCTTCCTAACTTATGTAGTCCAATTGGTCCAATAGATGGCCCCCCGAACATAGAATTGACATCCACTGAGGAGATGCTTTTGCAGAAATTCCTGGACCGAAAGTTTGACCACATTAAAGGCACCACTCCTTTTGTGGAACACTTTGTACATTCGCTTAATCCGGAACCGATCAAACAGCGATAACAACACCCCTCAAAATCCAAGAATGCAGGAACTTGTTAACACCGAAGTTGTTGGAAGACGGAATTATTGAACCATTAAACAGTCCTTGGAGTTCTCCTGTAGTCATCGTGAAAAAGAAGGATGGAAAATACCGTTTTTGCATTGACTTCCAAAATATAAATGCGGTAAGTCGAAAAGACGCTTATCCGCTTCCTTTCATCAACTCTATTCTGGATAAACTAAGGAGAGCCCGTTACATTTCCAACATCGATTTAAAACAAGGCAAATATTTCTGTCGGAAGAAAGTAAACCGATTACTGCATTTACAGTACCAGGAATGGGCTTGTTCCAATTCCGGGTTATCCCCTTTGGATTACATTCTGCACCGGCCATCTTCCAAAAGCTAATGGACCGTATTATAAGACCGGAACTAGATAACTACTGTTTCGCATATCTGGACGAAATAATCTTGGCGAGACTTACAAAACTTGGAAGAATTATTCCGCCGACTAAGAGAGGCTGATCTACGGCTTGACTCCGAGAAATGTGAATTTGGAAAACGATCCCTGCGTTACTTAGGACATCTTGTAACATCAGATGGCATTCGTAACTTCATCGATCCTTGGAAGTTATGCGTGCCAAAATCTACTCATAAAGCCGTTTTGGAAGAGAATCACGATCTCCCCATCGCTGGTCACCTTGGAATCGCCAAGGTGACAAAGATTTAGCACCCGAGCAGGAACATTCAATTGCTGGAAACAGAAGTTTCAATTTATGTAGCGCCCTTTTGGATTTTCTTTTTCTATTTTTAACGGTTATCTCGGGCGCCACCCTCAATATTATTGTGGTGTGCGATAATCAAGTTAAATCACTACCGCGGGGTTGACCAAAAATTACCTAGCGCAAATAGTTGAATTAAAGTAATTAAAAAGTCAGAGGCGCACACATTTTCGGAAAAAATCTAGTAACTCCGTAACAACTTCATCATATAGTATGCTTTACTTATTCTGGATGATTTTAAAATAACAAAATAAATCAAGTGACTCTAAAGTAAACTGAAAAACTTGTAACTTTAACATCAACAATTGGATGATAAAATGCTAATCAGATACGGCACAATTATGTCCTCATCTGTGTAAATGAGCCTTTAACCTGCCACACAACACAAATCCCTAAAAACACAACTAAATTTCCCTAATATATAAGTATATTTAATTTTATCTAACTAATCATCTAAATTCAGCAATAATTATTATATAATAAGATTTAAAAACAAGTGAGTCGTATAGAAAAATATAATAAGAATTTTCTATAAAGTGAGGCGAGGATTGGCAACCAAATATAAAATATTCAAGCGAACATTGACACCAAAACTTATTTTAAACCAAAATTCATCTTTGCACATTTAACACTAAAATTTTGCACACCAAATTATAGCAGCAAAATATGCCTACCGTTTAATACACATTGTATATGTAACAACATCTAATTCTTACTGTTATAACACCTTAAGACATCTAAAATTTCCACACAAATTTCTCTGTTAAATCACAACCGCTAAATTGAGGAATAATATAATTTTTTTAATTTCAATCAAAAATATTCTTTATTTAAATTCCTCTAATTTGGCCAACAATTAATAGGTTTTTCCCAACAAAAACATCTTCAAAAAACCCCAACCCTTGCCCCACTGCGGCTACAAAAATCTCGTTAAAATTACCCTCGAAAAAATTGAGGGCCATCTAATTAACTATAAAGTGGCTTTTTGTTTCTAAATTTCAAGGTGACACAATATGCAAAATTGAGCCTTCTCTAAGGAATTTAGATTCCCGTAAGGATCAAAATTAACATGAATATTGTTTGTAGAATGGTAGCCGATTTGTGTAATAGTCTTGTTGATGATGATCCGATTTTGCTCAGGTACGTGTTTACGCAGGGCGGGTCGTCTGAACCTGCAACAATAATTTAAGTATGAATTTTGAGATAATGCTTAGAAGTCTTAGGAGTAGAGATATAAATAATATAAATGTGTCTTCAATGTAGAAATAATTTCATGTTGCTATGTGTGATAAGGCCTCTGTTCAATTTATTACCTAAGTAGTGAACCAAAAGTACATTTCTCTCACTTTTACACCTCTAGTTTCTTTTCTACAAAAACCATTTCAATTGACCAAAAGACATAATTTCACAATACCTTTATGTAGAGAAAACTATAAAGAGGATAGAGAGTCTTTTTACAACGAAAAAAGGGTTTGGACATGTGTTAGCCAAATTGGGTTTGGGTACTTTGCTTGGGTACCTTGGTTGACCACCTTACACCTTGACAACCTTGCATGTGAATATGCTGGGTTATGTGATGTGTCAATTGTGTCATACTCTCCTAACTACCTCGCCATCAAATTCTGGGCCTGCGAGTGACGTCACTATTAGCAGCTTATAGTGATGACGTCGCCCGCAGACCTCGATGGAATGCTTGCGATTCAAGCTGTGCTAGTGATTTAATTTTTTTGTCGATTTTAAATGTAGGAAAGGTGATTTTCGGTTCGTTCTCACAGAAGAAATAAAATGTTCTTGATCTTCCAGTATCCCAGAATTTGATGGTGGGGGAGTTAGGGCAGTATGACACAATTGACACATCACATAATCCAGCATCAACGTTACAAAAGAATTTATTTCAATTAGACTAAGTACACACAAAGTACCTTAATAAATTTAATAAATAGTTCTATTTAATTTCCCTTTACTCCTGTTGCTTTTTTATGCAAGTGCTATTTTCAAGTTTTCAAAATTTTGCGCTCTCAAAAAAAAAATCATATTTTTTCTAGTAAATGTATACTAAAAATGTATTATGTAAGGTAATGTGTACCACAAGTATTCGTGGCGCGTACGTCCCTGTATGACAGTTTTTGATCATTGTGTTCCATATTTAGAGTCTGGCAACGCTGGCAAAACTATTGAGCTTGAATTGATGATGATCAGAGATTAGTGAGAATGTGGTCGAGCAAGTAACATCTAAGATTTCTGGTAGCTAAAAAAAAACTCTGGAAATCTACAGATAGATGTCACAGTACAGATGATCTCGAATCCCAAAATATTTAACAGACATCAGGATCCCTATTCTTGAAACAGGGGAGCAACGTTTTCAGGAGAACGAGTGTTCTGTTTTTCTCACTGATATACAAATGATAATATAAGTAACAAAGACAGAACACTCGTTCTCCCGGGAACGTTGCTCCCCTGTTTCAAGAATAAGGACCCAGGTAGAGAAATACAGATGATAGAAATGTGATGTGCAAAATTAACTCTACATTATTTATGTTATCGATATTCTGTCGACCGATTTTACAAATGCAGCTCTATATGAGGAAATCCGTAATTTCCATAATCCCATCGAGGTTAAGCGGACATCGGGGTTAATTAGATCACTTTTGGGAAGTTTTGCAATTTCTTGTGGAATTTGAACCCAGATACTTGGCACGACGATTGCTTTGACTTATAGCACATTACCGTCTACATTATGAATATAATTCGGTTACTTCGAGCCATTTAATTACCTTTATTTATTATCTAAAATTTCACAATGCCGGTGTCATTTATTTCCGTGAAACTATCCAGTTCCTAAATTTAATTGAGAAATTTGCAACTCGTTTAACACGAGAGCAAAAATAAAACGACACCGCCGATTAAACGCATCCTATTTCTATGGGCAACAGAGACGGAACAATTTCGCAACAAACTACTTTAAAATTTATGGGCGCAGACTCGCGGACCCGTCCTCCGTTGCAAGTTGCTTGTTTAATTGAAATAAAGACGAACTTTATGCTACAGAAGAAATTAAAGTACATTCACGTCGACTTAGGAATTATATCGAAAGGAACGAGGCAGAAAGATTATACGAGAAGGATTTTGTTTTATTCATGCAAAAAAAAAAAAATATCTATATTAGAAACGGAAGCACTCATTCAAAAACTGATTTACATAAATATCAACGAGCCTCGAAGACCCGCCGCAATTTAATTTTAATTAAATCACAAAGTTAAGGGCGCGTGGTATCAAAATGCATACATAAACGTGGCGGCGGCGAAACGGGAAGCACATAAAAGGGCCTTAGAATAAAGCTTATTAGTGGGGTACATACTGCATCTACCCTTCAGGTAATTACTCGTTAAATTCCTGCAGACAATTCTTTGGGACGATGCCGGAAAATGTTTCGAGGCGACACCCGCCAGCTATAACGTCGACAGCGTCGAATTTGTTGCGAGGAAAATAATTAGCTAATTATTAAACCAAAAGTGAATTCGGGTATTAATTTTTGGAGACTTTGATGTATTCATCTGGGATTTTAAGAGGAACTTTTGCTAATTTGGGTGAGCTGCTATGTTCAAGTAAGTAATTGGAAGCTGTTTCAATTATTTATATATTATTTGTCTGAAGCTCAGAGCAATAGTTTTCGAGAAAGTCTTAACTTTTTAAAATTCGATGAGAAAGGTGCAGATAGAGACTAGTTGGTTTGGCAGATCATAGTTATATTTCACCATGCCATTACATTGTAACACTTTTATTTTAAGTGAAAATTTCATAACCATAATGTACCCTTGTTTGCAGTGCAACCTTAAATCAACCGAGTTTAGGGTTAAGGGTCCACATGCCCGGCAGGTGCATTCGTGCGCCATCGATTTTTGCGACTAAGGGCGGGTATTATAAAACTGCTTTGACAGTTAACTTGAAGTTAACTTTTTGAATTACATGTAATTCCGGAAGTTAACTTTAAGTTAACTCTCAAAGTAGTTTTATAATACCCGCCCTAAATCGGAAAAGTCCTGCGATGATGGCAGGTTGAACTAAAGTACACTCCAAACAAGAATAAAATTTGGTGCCTAATTAAATTTTTACTCAAAATAAAAGTGTTGGCGCCCAACGTGCTCTTTAGGAAAGAAATAAGGGTTTCTTTATCTAGTCAGAGCTCAGTTAAAGTGGTACAATTGGTACCCAACTTTGTTTTGATTGATTGATCAAATACTTTGGCAGTGTTACAATTATTGGTAAGTGGGTGATAATATCTGACCGTCATCTTTTGTGTTATTTTGAACTTGCAATTTACCCTGATTTATTTTTGTCATCTTGATCATGGATTATAAAATGCAGATCAACTATCTTAAGAAGGTATTTCTTGCCTATGAACTGTTTACTCGAGGGGTTACCATTGATGATTCTAGAACTGTTGAACAGCTACGCAAAGCACTACGTCCACTTTTGAAACTTGAAAAGGGGGAAAAGCCATTGACTGATTCTGTTTATACTTGTGATGTGGATCAGGAGTTTGCTTATTTCTGCAACTCGGACTGATCGAATTCCTCTGAAAGATTTGTCGGAGCAACAATTGCAGCAGAGAGGTTCTTTTCTTGCTGAAATTTTGGGTTTGTTGGATCGTCTTGGGGTCGTTTCTGTTAATGATCCTAATGTAAGCGCTTTGTTGGCTGAAGGTGCAAATGTTGGCAACGCTTCCTCTTCAACACCGGTTAAGTTAGCTCCAGTCAGTATTTTGAATCAAACCTCCACTGTGGTATCAAAGTCACAACCTGTCCAGAAGTGGAATCTTAAATTTAGTAGTGACTTGGTCAAATCAATCCATTCTTTTCTGGAGGAGGTGGAAGAATTGCGAGACATACAACGGAGGAACTTTTTGACTCTGCTAGAGGGATTTGTTTGTAGGAAAGGCTTTGAATTGGTTCAGACCGAATCACTCTAGATTTTTCCACTAGGAGTTGTCTGATTTGTTAATATTGCACTTTCAACCACCAGATTATTCAGGGAGATCCTGGACAGAATGCAAGATCCTTCGGAGGGTATTGTTGATTATTTGACCACGATGAATGTGTTATTTCGTAGATATATTAGTGTTTCTGAGGAAGCTCAGCTGGAGATCATTATGAGGAACCTGGCCCCATTTTATACAACCCAGCTTTCAGTTGTTAATACTTTAGAGGAATTGGAGGTTGAATGTTTGAAACTAGAGGCTAAGAAGTACCGTGTTCCGCCACCTCGTAGATGGGTAAATTTGGTTGAGTCGGATTTTGCTTGTGTCGAAACCACCGATATGGTCCCTGATGTTTCAGCAGTAAGAAAGAACGAGGTGTCTAGTGCAGAAAACCCCAATCGTTCGCGTTCCTCTGCACTGTGTTGGAACTGCTGTGCCTGGACATCTGAATAGGGAGTGTAAACAACACAAAAAGCTACATTGTTACCGGTGTAGTCATTCTGGCTGTTGCCGAAATTGCTCGGTTTTGGGAAACGAATCCCGGGGGAATCGAAGTTAGGTCCTTTGATAGCCCCCACCAGTTTAAAGATTCATTAGCCTCCTCCAACAAAATTGTACTGGATTTTATACTTTCTCATGCACGAGGTGACCAAAGACCATTTTTAAAGTTGTCTATTCTTGGGCTCCCCCCCATATTAGGTTTATTGGACAGCGAAGAATCTCGGACGATAGTTGGATTATCGGGCTATGATATTTGATATTTTGAAGGGTTTGGGTCTTGAACTAATACGACAAACAGTTTGTTGCACTGTGGCAAATGGCCAATCCCCTACTAGTTTAGGTTATGTACAAACTCCGTTCCCTTCGAAACACAAAACGAAGATTATTAATGTTTTGGTGTTGCCTGACTTGGCCCATAAATTGATCTTGAGTATGGATTTCTGGACCGCTATGGGCATTGTGCCTGATTTAAGGCAGGATATCTGGCATTTTGCTAAAACTGATGAGTTACCTTTCATTTCCAGTATTCAGGATGCTTCTACACTTTACTGGCAGTCAAGAAAAACAGCTCAATATCTTAGTAAAAGATAAGTTATCCTTGAAGGGAACTGGTTTAGGTGGCTGTAAAGCTGTTGAACATATTATCATAGAGTTAGAACCCGGTACCAAGACCATTAAAAAACGGTATTATCC